AAATCCGAGTGTACCGAACGGAGGTCAATAGGTGGCTTATTTGAAGAAAATAAAATCCAACGAGCGTTTGGCCGTGCGATCTTTGGAAAATGTATTTAAAAGTCTTTAAATTAACATCATACCTGGCAAAACGACTTCACAGAATGCTTGGTGTTGTTATTTACCAAGCAATTTGTTTCATAATTACTTCATAATTTTATTTTTAGATGTTTGCAAATATTGTCGAGTGCCTTTTAGGATAGATTAGTAAATTAACTTTACGGGATCATTAATAAAACATAATGGGGTTTGTACATATATACTGCGTAAAACAAAAATAGGAAAGTGCGCTCTTACTTTTTTTTCAATTTTAAAACGATGACGTAAATACTAATAGTAATGGACTTCTGTACGGCGATTGTAGCTGCGATCAAAGTTATGAACATAATTTATGGATTTCCTGATCATTAACACCAAACAAGTAGTTTTCAGTTACAACGTGACCTTTTTGGATTTAAAGGAGTCCTTTTTTAACATTAGTCTTAAAATATTGAGTTAGATTGATGCACCTTTAATTTACCTTTATAATCCACGGAGTAGTTACATCATTTAATTTGGTAAATGAAGTTATTTACACTTTTTTGATTGGCTAAATGTCTCCTCTTTACTATTATCTCAATACGTTTGTAATAACTTGTGCTGAACTGCCGAAGAAAGTCAACATGTTTACAGCAGTTTATTCAGGGCATGACAACACCTTGGATTTTTGCTTTGTTTTCAACAATCTCGAACAATCTCAAGTTTTCAATTAAAAAGGGTGAGCCGTTTAAATTTACCTCAAATAGACTTAAAATAATTGCCCATGACAACCAAGGTTGAGTGATTACTGGCAAACACTTACAATAAGTTTTAATTTAAATTTGATAATTTAAAATTATTCTATGTCCAATGTAAAATTTATTTACTAAACGTGAAATTCTCCATTCAGTTATTTTCGATAAAATAACCGAGAGTCTGCACAAATGTGTATGCGGGTGCCATATCCGACAAAACAATGACTTATGCTTTATTTCAGAAACATTCACATTTTAGCTACAGGGTAGATAAAACGAAATACTTAACATGTAATAGTCTGGGTAGCATGTACTTGGTGTATACGAATCAATAGGTATCATTGTACGCTGTGGTATTTATTTAAAATCGAATGTGTGGATTATATCGTTCAATTTAAAATATTGCCATGACCTACTAACAGTTTTATAGATAACCAAATGATCAACCTATTCATAAGATGGAATTTGATCAAATGATCCACACAAACTTTTGTTCATGGTTTAGCACTAAAATAATTCGAATTGCTTTTTTTACCACATATTATTGTTAACACGTGTACTTGACTAATTTGCACAAAAAAATGTACAGTATCGCACCAAATATAATTATTTATGAAGACATACTAATCTCACAGTAAACTTTGTATTGTTTCACTTCATGTGGTACTTGATACTCATGTATACATCGATGTATATATGTTGAGCTAAGTGATTATATGAAGCGTTAAAGGTAGTAGACATTATTTGCACTTAAGATTATGAATGAGGATGGTAATTCATTGACGTGTTCACTGTTTTGTTTCCAGTGGTCGTAGATATAGACTTAGAGCTGGATAGGGTTAAATTAAAATTTCGGGAACAAATTCCCTGATTGTCTTATCGCATAGTATCATCGACCCTGATCACAGAATGGCCAGTCTTAAATTTCTCAATGTCCGCCTGTGCACAACATTCGGACTGAGTCAGATTGGGAATGTGGGTATGTGTACACTATTCTGTAATATACAGGGTGACCCAACATAATGCAACTAAAACATTTGCCTTTAAAAAAAAAAGGATTGGTGGATTGTTATGGTTTTTTTTAGCTGAGAGCTTATTCTTTCAAAAACTGAGAAAAAAAAATCATGAAAATAGCACTCTTGGTTGCTGAGAAAATGCCAATTACGTAGAAGTAGTTATTTTTCATACCCAAATTGGGAATTTCTTTCACCTTTGATGTAAATGTTATGGATAGGTGTGTTGAAATAACCTTTTGGTAATAATCGCGCCACCACTGAACCGTGGGAAAGTTAGCCTTGGCCAAGGTTGCCACGCTTGTTCCCCAAACGAGCTTGCTCCCTACAGTGCAGCTTTGGGCTGGTTTGTCCGGTACAGTAAGTGGAGGCGGATCCGCCTCGACTTATTGGGCCGAATTCATAAAAACTGGCAATTGCTTTTTCTAGGCTTTTGCTTACATCTTCATACATAAATATAAGCAGTTGCTAGCAAGCAAAAGTTTATAGTTTTAAGCAAAAGCAAAAGCTTGTTTCTTGCAAGCAAATGCCACCTGGATTAGCAATTGCCTAAAAACGTATACATAACAACCACCTTTTGCTTGTGTTATTCAGCAATTGCTTGTAGTGTTACAAGATCCCCACATTGCATATTAGAGAATGGTTCAAAGATTGTCTTTGTCTTATATGCACATGTATGTTCCATTTTGGACAGATTTGTCATGATTAAAGTAGTGTTAAGTGAACACAAAAAGTTGATGTATAAAGTGATGCAACTGCTCTTTATTTCTGCGGAATACAGATTAAGCTACAAATGTTGGGTAGGACTTTAATATTCAGTAAGATAGAATGGTAAAAGCAACAATACTTGATCAAATCATTTCTAACGAATGTAAAATTACAGTAAAAAATAAGAAGAACTTTAGAAAAAAATACAAACCCTAAAGCGGGCATCAGCAGAAGCGCAACTGGAGGAACAAACTCCCGCTGAAAATGCGGAAGCCATTTTGTTTATGGTAGGGTTTTCTTGCCCTTTCAGTGCGTCGAAGACAGGAACACAAATTGATCATACGATTTACCCGTTTCATTTGCGTCCCTTTTCTTCTTGACCTGTGCTTTCATGTTGGCAACCTTCTTCAATAATGTTTGTCATCCATTTTTTTTCCGGTGTTTGTAGCAATTGTTGCTTTGGCATCCTGAAGTGCCCTCCATTTCTTTTCCTTGCTACTTGGTAGTTGAAATTTGTCTTATAGCACAGGGTGTTTTTGGATGATTTTGACCAAAACTGCACTCACTTGTTGATCACATTTGACAGCAGTTTGATCATCACTCTGTGCACCAATTTTGGAAATTGTGTGGGAAAAGCAAGCCTGCTTCTATAAAAAAGCTTCACATTTACGCATGCCTCATCGCACATGAATAGCGCTTTATTAAGGACCTGCAAGCAATCGCTGGGCTAGCTTGAGAAAAAGCAATTAGTCAAAGCAAAAGGTTAGGCCAACAAAAAAAAGTCTCCGGTTTCTGGTATGGAGCTTGCCCAAAAAATGATGCGGCGACGCGGCTTTTGTTTTTTTTTTTACCTGACTTTTTTGCTTCAAATGTGTGCTGATGACTGCAAATGGTGTCCGACTAAACTTAGTGCAAATATATGGGAGTCCAGAGAGGCCACATAAAGCTTATTCTCGTCCATAACCCAATCTAAAAACGCGTTAAAATTGTGCAGCAGCAGTATTCCAGTCAAACCAGTGAGTTTGGCGGTTTTGGGACATCATCTTTCATTTAAAAAAAAACTTTTTCGTTTTGCCGACGCGCATGCCTACGGCGACGCGCGCATACCAGAAACCGGAGACTTTTTTTTTTGCCTTATTTAAACTTTTTTAAGCAATTGCTTATGCTTCAGCTTCTGCTTGATGAACTTTTGCTTTTGTTCGGTGCCTCTGCTTAATAGCAATTACTAGTTTTTTTTTATGAATTCGGCCCATTGTATGCGGCTGTGTATGTGGAGCGTAGGTACGTGCAGACAAAGCACAAGAAAGGGTCGTTAAGGCTAGTGCTAGTACTGGCAAATACTACAGCAAATACATCGAAATCGAACGAAATTCCCACGTTGCCAAGGTTTGGTAGTAGCACAATGCTGGAATCTCGGTAAATTTCGAATTAGTGCAAGGGGATATTGTCGTTGCTCTACATGATCTTTCTCCCGAGTTTACTATGTTGTAATTCATGAGTGATTCACGAACAATTGTGTCGGTTAGGTGATAACAAAATAAAGGAATAAAGTCGATGAATATTTAAGTACCTCCCTCTAGCAGCGAAGGGTTCGGGGTTGATTTTATGAAGAGTTATTGATGTTAATAGTACATAAAGACAACATTCCCACTTTGCCGCGCAGTGTTGGAATTCCCACTTTGCCCTGGGCAAATTCCGAATTTACCCAGATTCCCAGATCGGTACGAGCACCCCCCCCCCTTATTGATTTTACGGAGGCCAAGTGTCCAGATAACCCAAAAAACCTGTCTACATTTCAACATTGCTTTGCTACTGCCCCCCCCCCCCCCCCCCCCACCGGCTAAAATGACGGTTTATTAACTGAACTACAATTTAGACGTCAGGGCGTTAGAGAATTATCAGGTTAGGGAAACAGACATGCAGCGCTCGTCCCCATCAGCCGCCGCAGCGTGCAACATAATTAAGTGGTTAGGACCAGCAAACCTAGAACATGTATAGTGCTGACACAAAGCGTGTTGTTGCTGGCGACAACACCACATCTCAATCCGTACCGCGCCGTACCGTTTGTGAATGCACGCACGTACATTATTGGACATTACTTCAACGTTTTTCCCTTGAAATTGGACAGATTTTCCTCCTTTCTGCATTTTGTTTTCTAGGTAAGAAATTCAAGACAGATTCGGCGGCATAAACAAAACGTTGTTATTTTCTCGATCGGGAACCCCAAAAATGGTCGGTCGGAATTGAGAACCATAGAATAAGAAAGAGACGCCCTAATGACAATAGAGTAATACAAATTATTAATTCCGTAACGACGCCTACGGTTGGTTGTTACAGAAGCCAACCTGAACGTCAATTTAATGTACAGCAACGTATGCGGTAGAACATTTGGAACGAACTCGCGATGCTTACATATTTATAATCAATACTGTGGATTTTAGAAATACAACCATAAAACATTACGAACATGGCTGGGCTGTTGGATGTATCACGTTATGGCTGGGACGTCTACATTTGCCGTCTGTTGTTCCTGATGGTGTTGGTCTGCTGCTTCTTTCAACTAGGTCGATGCAATCTTACAGGTAGGTAAATAAAAACAAATATATAAGTTTTAGGACTGGGGCGAAGAGAGACGGTAGAAGCCTAAAGCTTTGTTTCTGAGTCCTGTAAGAAGACATGAAAAATGCACAAGACTTCGTCTTGACATATTGCACTTCTGTTTCAACCAGAAGTAAAATTTGAGCGGCTTCGTGCTCTGGAATCAATCTTGTCCGAGACAATTGTTTTTATTCAGTATTGTAAAAACTTGCAACCTTAAATCGCTTGTAATTTCATACCCTTAACGTCATGAAGTCACACAAAGCTTTTAGACAATATTTTCACACCAGGTTTTATTTTCATCCCTCGTCCCGTTTCGAAGAAATTAGTTTTATTTTTCATTTGATTTTGAGGATTCAAATTAAATACATAAGGACGTCACAATGACGTGCACTGTAAGATATACTCGGCAACTTTAAGTTCATAATAAAAGCCTTTTTGAATAATAGCAATCCGCTCGGGTAATCTTCCTGGGCGGAATAGTAATCCAGCTAGGCGGATAACTATTCCGCCCGGGCGAATTACTATTCCGACCGGGCAGAATAGTGGGTCAGGTTACATTTTGTTGGTTCTGTCCTGAGGCTTCCGTAAAAATTCACAAGTTGTGGTTTTGTTTTGTTTTGTTTTTTTGTCGTATGATAATGCCAGTGACTATCAAATTAAAATTTTAAGTAGCCAATCTCGGGTGTGGGGGATTAACGCTATTCGTTACCAGTCTTCTTTATCACATGGCGTTTCTACATGTATACCGGATTTTTTTGCTGCTGTTTAAAACAAGTTTTAATATTTTACCTACGAAGGGGAGGAGACGCCAATATTAAATCCGGGCATGTGGGGTCCCGAGACTTGGATAAAAGATGCCGTATTTTTTATAAACATAGTGATTTAAGGAAAGGGCGTAAATGCCTCCTTTTCACACGGTTATGACACCACTCCGCTATGCTATATCTTTTACACATAAATTACTATAAACAAAGTGTTTTATCATCTCGACTGATCGGTTGGCGTGGGTGGCTCAACGTCCCATAGCTGGATTTGGAGACTGATGATGATGATGATGATAGTGTTTTAAGGAAAGGGCGTAAATTCCTCCTTTTGACACGGTAATGACACCACTCTGCCATGCTATATCTTTTACACATAAATTAAAACCCATAAAGATATCTTAAACCGACTGTCTCAGCCTTCGCTATTAGTGTTGATGGTTTGCATAGGATTATTAGTGTCCGATGTACATTTTCATTCGATTAACAATTTGTCAAAAAAGCGAACGACGATTGCACTTCAAAGAGCGGCTACGCTTATCAGAACTGTTTGCGGATGAGGTTTGTCCAAACATAATCACGATAAAAGGAGGCAGGGTGACTGGGAAAACTGATCAGCTTTTGTGTGCAAGCAGAAAAACAAAGTCGATGGCTACTTTTGAACCTTTGGGACAACACGTTCAATCTGATGTTCTGGTGGCAGAAAAGCAGAGTGCCACTTTTGAACCACCGTGGCCACAGCGTTGAATCTGCTCACTCGGAAAGCAAAACGAGCTTTGCGTTTGTTGAGTTACAAACGCTATAGTGATCGGGCCGAAAACTTTTTCATATTTAATTGGGGGGAAGCGTCTTTATGTAAATGTCAGTACCTTTCATGTACACGTTTAAGTTATTCCCAGTCTGGTGACGTCAGCAGTTAACGTGCAAACCGAATACTGATTGAGCATCACCAGAGTGCGCCTAGGTAAGATTCGTGCTCAACGAACGTGACTGTTGTCACGCGCTTTCATGGAAATTTAAGCATCGTTTTTGTATAAATGTCAATGAATTTGACTGAACAAAATAATGTTTCCGTAGCGATTACCTAATCGTCTACAAAAAAAAAAATATGGGAGAGTGGGGCAAGTTGAGCCATGGAAAACGAAAAAAAACACGGGAAAAAGAGGTGCGAAGCCATATTGCTCCCCTGCTCACGCTCGGAAAAATGATCAATTGAGAATAAAATGAAAAAGTAAAGGCATTTTGGGGCAAAATTTTGTTTGCCCCCCCCCCCTGGAAAAAATCCTGGCAACGCCCATGTATGGGGTCAGTTGAGCCATAGGGTCTGTTGAGCCACCCCCTCTATCTGGCCATTGAGTGGAGACAATGTTAAAATACTGCCCTCTTTTTGTGACTTCCTTCATTAATTCATTTCTGATGTGCATTAATGGCCGGCTTAGTTAAAGGTGCTCAGGGTCTGAAGTTTCATTGAATGTCATTTGCTTAAAATGGCTTGAAAATATTCTTTGATTACATTGGCCTAATTACAGAATATTTATAATTTCAGACAATATGACATCTTTGACGCCACGCAAATTGAACCAAACATGGCAAAGTTTGCGCCACTCTGCCCTATTGTTTTAAAACACGTTCCGAAACAGAACGTTCCGGACTTTTACAAAAAAAATATTTATTTTCTTTCTGGTAATGAAACCAAGGATTCCTCAAAAGTGCCCTAGGCACTGTAGCTCGAAAGCCTGAAGAAACCTGTAGAAAGAAGACAATGATAAGAATTACAGTTTTAGAGGTAGGAGATAAAGCCCAGAGGAATATTCTGTGGAAAACCTACGGAATCAGGCAGGGACTGAAAACCCAATCCACATGTTGGCCCAGGCGGGATTCGAACCCGGGTCACAGCAGTGGAAGGCGAGGAAAATAGAGTACCGCTACGCCAACCTGACTCCCAATGTGTATTGGTTTGCGCATAAAAAGTAATTCTTCTCGTCAACAGATGTGGATATTGTGTCAGACAACTAGTGTCTTTATCGATTGCAAAGACAAACAATGGAATGCACCGTAGCCAAATGTGTGGAAGGTCACTTCTAATTTCGAGAAAAAAAATTGCGCCAAAAGGGCCGAATAAGGAAAATAACAGCGTGAAAATCCAGAAATACACGATCAGAGCAGAATATACTTTTATTTTGACAAAATGTGTACTTGGATGTAGATGAACAAAGCGCATAGTACAATGTACATACATGCATATGTACCTACCTGCGCTATGGTACGTACATGTATATGCAAAACCTATACATGTGCATGTACACTGTTTGGTTAATCATGTCCAATTACTGAAAGCTTAATTTTAATTTAGAGTTTTTTAGTTTTGATTTAACTTTTGAGTTCGCCGCGTTGACTTGTCGAGTTTCGAGTTTACGTTTCCAGTCGATTTTTCGAGTTTCCATTAAGTTTTTGAGCTTTCAGGTGACTTTATCAGTCTATTTTGCAGGGTTTTACCCTTGACAGAAAAACAACTCGTGCATTTAAGAGAAGTTAAGTCCAAAACGTAATAGCGTGGGTAAAATAAAATGCGTCCGGGGAGGTAGAAGGCATGCGTTTTGTGGTGTTTTTTTTTTGGTCATGACTTTCCTCTTTTAGGGTTAATTGGTTTTAATTTATTTTGTTTTCATTTATTTATTTCCAGCAAGACCTCCATAAAAGGAGAGGATAAAATTTGACATTTAAATATGTTTTAGCTTTGCATTTCGCCGCTGGTGGCGAAATTCAAACGGTAGTTGTCCAATTATAGTTGCTTTATTAAATCCCTGATTTATTTCAGCCCTCCCTGTTGATGGGAAACATACGTCACAGAGCACAATATGGTCGCCTCACGAATCTTATCAGGCCATCGATGGATATGCGTACACCTTCTCGCACACTGGTAAGAACAATGAGAAATACTTCTGCATTTGTTGCGACCCCATATCATCATCAACTTCGTCTCTCTCATCACCTTCGGCATTCTTGAAATCAACGTAAAAACGCCTCCTCCTTCTGCTACTTCCGTAAGCGTTGCGTAGGTGGAGGGCCAAGGGGGAGCTCCTCCTGGAAAAGAAGCCTTAAAAAAAAAGGGACGGGGGAAAAAAAGGGAGATGTAAATCACATTTGCTATTAGCTTAATACACATTTTTACAAAATTGGGGCCTGCAAGGGGTGTCAATGTATACCAACATTACCATTCACTGTGTGGACTTCCGAACAAAAGAGGTCCACATAAACCAAGTAGCAGCTACGTTGTGTGGACTTGCCCACGTCCACACAGTGATTCCCCCTCTCTGGAAAACGGGTTGAGAGGCATTTTGGGGTTAGGTTTATTTATGGCAAAATGAAGAAAAACACTAAAAGAGAATCATAGAAAAATAAATAGGGTTGAAAGAATGTTCACAGTGCGAGTAAAATGATTTTTTTCACAGGTTTGTCTTAATAACTGCACGAAAACAAAAGAACTTCCACACTACGTATGTAACGTAAACATGCGTGGGTGAGGTGGTCAAATGCCACCCCCCCCCCCGCCCACCCTCCAAGGAATGATAAATTGAGAATATGCTGGAAAAAGTACACGGATTTGTGCTATGCCCCCTCCCCCACTGGAAAAATCCAGGCTACGCCCATGGCTACTTCCCTCCTTAATCTCCTCGATCCGCAATCCCACCCCACACCAACCTTCTGCCACCAAAACTACATCATCATCCCCACCCCCATCCCTTTCCCCACCCCATCCCCACCCCAACCCAACCCCGGCCCCATCCCCATCTTTTATGGTGATTCGTTGATGTGTCAGTTCATGGCAGTAAGCCAATGAGCAAACCTTTCTCACAAATGTTTTCACTAAACTAATGTTTGGGTTTACAATTTCAACAGAAAAACCACCAAATATGGACAGTGTCTTACTTAACTGACATCACGGCAAAATAATCCTAACTCTGGAAAAGCAGGAAAAATGTTAGATGTTGAATGAAGTGCATGTACAATTTTATTGTTGAAAGAAGTGCACTTTTCAGTAAAATTAACCAAAAAGGGATGTCAATTAGTTTCCATACACTTGAGAGGACTAGAAAGGAGCACTTCATGGACCATTTAATATTCTTCCTTTCCTTCCTTCCAGATAATAATGATCCGCATCCTTGGTGGCTGCTTGACCTAGGTAGCAATCACAACTTGAGTAGAATCAACGTCATTCTCCGAAAGGATAGCGGGGGTAAATGTTTCGTAGTACTCTTCACCCTAAGATTTATTATTCGTTGAGGTTGTATATTTTTAAAGATCTTTTTTTTTTTTGCGAAACTGTAATTTACGAAGTAGAACTGTCTTTTCTTCTCTAGGTTTTCGCTTCACCGGGGCGATAGGGCGAGCCGGACTGAGCCCCAACTTCACCGAGAACCTGCCGTGCGGCTCACCGGCTACCAGCGAACAGTCTCAGGATGGAGCTGAGATCCCATTCCTGTGCGAGCCACCGCGGACGGCTAGGTATATCAGCTTGGACATCGATACTTCCATGCCCGGTGTAGATGCGGCACAGGCATATCTGCAACTTGCCGAGGTGACGGTGGAAAACGTCACGTCTGGAGAGGGTGCTGGTAGGTAAAACCAGTCGTTCGGCATTACCTTGGTCAAGCTTAAAAAAAAAAAAGGTTTATGTATGATAACAAGACGCACAAAATCGGTTACTCACGTTACGAAAATGTAACGTGAGTAACCGATTTTTCGCGTCTTGTTTATCATACATAACACCTTTTTCTGGATGTCATCTTTGGTGCTTAGGTAGGTCTAGGTCTACTCTATCTACCATGGGGATAACAGTTATTAAACCTTTTCAGTAAGGTAATTACAGCCCAAGGAAACTCGAAAGTACATCAAAAAATGTAACGTGAGTAACCGTGGAATTGCCACTAACAATTTTCGTCACGATGACTTCTTTTTTGAAGTGCCAGTCCGATTGGGTTGAATCTTGGTATGCAACAGACGGGGATGTGTTATAGATGGAAATCTGGGTGACGTCGTCATAACGTCATCGCATGTCATTTGACGTCAAATTAAATGGGCAATTTTCTAAGGCTTAAATCTCAAAAACCATAAACCCGATGTACTTGTCACTTAATATGTGCCAATACCGGGATATATTATCGATGAAAATTAAAGTGACCTCAGCATGATGTTGTCACGTGTCATGTGACGTGAGATTGAAGGCCTATCTATTAAAGGCCTATCTACAGAACTATGTGTTCGTTTTGGTTGTAACTTTTGATATATACGTATACGTAAACGTATACCGGGATATGTTATAGATGACATTTGAAGTGACTTCATCGTGTGTTCATCACGTCACACAGTCATTTCAAAGATCCAAAAACAGCTGGTGCTTGTCCACAAACACATTTCTAGTTTAGTTTTGCGTTTCGCCGTTGGTGGAGAAATTCAAATTGTTGTCAAAATCCTGATTCATTGCAGCCCTCCCTGTTTACGGGAAAACTACATCACAGAGCACAACATGGGACTCTCACCCTTCTTATAAGGCCATCGATGGACAGACAGATACCTACACACACACTGGTAAGAACAATGAGAAATACATTCGCATTTTCTGTTATGTGTCATTGTCATCGTCGAATTCGTCGAATCCCAATACCAATACTGATCCCCAGCCGCCTACCGATCCCCGCCCCATCGCTATACTGATCCCCGGCCAGCGATTTTTTTTCTACGACATCCGCATACATGGTTATTTAGCGCCTTCTATGATACTTTTATGATACACACGCAGGTATATAATTATTTGTTGCCCCACGTTTTTACGAGCAGTGCGACAGCTCAGTCGATAAAAGGTAGGATTGTGCACCACGAGGTTGCGGGTTCGAAACTCGGTTTTGCACCCGAATTTATTTCCTTTTCTAACCTGAGGCTTTGGAAGATTTTTTTAAAAGGGAAATACAGTCCGAATTTGAACGTTCAATTTCACCTTGTTTCTAATTGTATTTTTTCTTCTCATGTTTTTATAAAAATTGGCCAAAACACCATAGCGTACACCCATATGTGGATGTCGTTTGGGAGAAAAAAATTCGTCCCCAGCCACATTCCGATCCCGTCCCATCACCATACTGATCCCCGTCCAATCTCCATACTGATCGCCGGCCACATTTTGATCCCCATACCCATCTCCATTGTCCTCCTCCTATGCTGACCCAGTAGCCATATCAGCATGCTAATCCCCGTTACAATCACTATACTGTTCCCTGTCCACATCCCCGTACTGATCCCAATCCCCATCGTCACACTTATCTTCGTCCCTATCCCAATGCCGAACCGCCCTGATCGCAATGTGATCCCCGCCCCCATACCCATATTGATATCCGTCCTCTTCACCCGTACTTATTGCCGTCCCATACTGATCCCCAACAACATCCCCTCACTGATTCCCGTCCCCATCCCAATACTGGTTGCCATTATCATACTGATCCACGCCAAATTCCCTCAATGATGCCTGTCTGATACCCTTACATGTAAATGATCCACAATCACACTTCAGTCTGATCCCCATCCCTATCTAAAAACGTAACCAGTCCAACGCCCATACTGATCTCCTTCCCCAATTTGCACTCGTTCCCATCCCAATCTGATACCCGTCCCCATTACTCGTTCCCATCCCCTTTCCTATACCCACACTGATCCCCGCCCAATCCCCATATACCTGATTGTATTGATCCCCATCCTTAACTTCTCACTGATACCCCTACCATCCCAATGCTGATCCCCGTCCCCTGCCCTGAACTGATCCCGTCGTCCCCAACCCCATACCGACCCCCGTGCCCATCCCAATACTGACCCCGTCCAAATCTCCATTTTGATCTCCGTTCCTATCCCCATACTGATCCCCATCACCCACTGATCGTGCCCTCTCCTCTCCCCTGCTATCCCAGATCCCATCCCCACGTGCATCCTCCTGTCCATCACCACCTCCCCTTCCCAGTCCCCGTACTAACCTCATCCATATCTCCATACTGGCCCCCGTTGCCCATCCCCATGATCCCCGTTCCTATTCCCACACTGATCCCCATCTCCCACTGATAATTATCATCGTGCCCTCTTCCCTCCCTGCTATCCCAGGTCCCATCTCCACGTGCACCTAATGTCCATCAATACCTCCCCTTGCCAATCCCTCCCCCTTGCCTCTCCGTCCCCATCCCAATCTGACCCCCGTTCCTATCCCAATGCTTCCCTCCGGCCCCATCCACATTCTGATCCCCATCACCGACTGATCGTTTTTCCCATGCCCTCTTCCCTCCCTGCTATCCCAGGTCCCATCCCATGATCTGGATCCCATGCATCCACTCGCATCCCAATTGACACCATGTTTATCATTTTCATCATCATTATAACTTCATGAACACCACCCTCAGCATCAACGTCACCACTTTATTCGCAGTTGTTACACATAACACCAACTACACCTGAATAAAATTAATATTCTTCTTTTCCTTCATTCCAGATGAGAATGATCCGCATCCTTGGTGGCTGCTGGACCTAGGTAGAAAGCACTGCTTGGGAAGAATCACTGTCACTCTCCGGACAGATGGATGGGGTAAAGTTGCTTACAGACCAGCCACTTCGATATGGCAAACTTCGACAATTTTGAAAATGTATATGTATTCAAAATAATCTGTAATATTGTAACGGACGGTTACACCTCTATGTTCCGACACCCCTATGTTCCGACTGCACATATTCCTATTCCTAACCCTAACCCCAACCCTAACCAGTAACACAATCGTATGTGCAGTTTGACGGAACATAGGGGTGTCGGAACATAGGGGTGTCGGAACATAGAGCAGTCACCGTAACGGACAGTTGGTATAGCACTTTTGTTGAGGCTTTTGTTCCTAGCCGCTGCCGGAGGGCTCCGACAGCGCATTGTTGGCGCGTTGAGCCACAGGTGCGCTGACCTGTTTTGGGGTCTGGCAAGCGCGCGCTCTGGAAATAGGCTCTATAAATAGGTTGCTTAGTAATTCTATTGTTCACTTACGCGGGTAGGGCTTGGCCAGATTCCATGGTTGGGTAGAGTTTTAACATTGTAATACATTTTGTGAAACTGTGCTGGGAATATATCAGTTACAGTTCTGGTGGCGGTGCGGTGAGTTGACCGCAGAGTCCGCTTGGAAAAACAAATTAGATCTTCCTACAGAGTTGGAAATCCCGTCTGTGTGTCCCCTTTTCGTGCGTTTTGCACGATTTGGCGGACAAGAGCCAAATAGGATCCCGGTACAATATATGAAAACTACATAAGGAGATTTGTATCCGTAAACGTGAAGTTGGAAAACTGCTTCGCTTAGGCAAAACAAGCACAAAAGCCGTCGGCAGCATCCGCTACAAGTCTATTTTGATGACGTCACTCACGATGACTGTTTCGTTATTTTGTGCCATGCAATACGCGTGCGTACAAGTACACGCACAGAAAACAGTACAGCTGAGCGCGTAATCGCACGTACACTGTCACTAATGTACATGTACTACGGTCGAACCCGGCCGAGAGCAACACAGAACTGTTGAACGTGATTTTGTCCAAATCTTGTGGTGAAGACATCACCCAGATGACAAACTCAATTGAAATCGTAGCGAGTGGGACCAGAAACAAATTTGAACCATTTCTTTACGGGGTTGTAAAGGTCATGGGCCCCTTTCAAACAAAAGTAACGTTTGGTAAAAAAGGGAATGTTAAACACTTCTGTAATTTTATCAAAATTGTATCAAAACTGATAACTGTACTTTGTGGTATCCATGCTCTTATTAAAACGCTACCAACTCAAATTCTAGAGCAAAGGCCTATGTTACATGGCTGCAGAATCATCAAGAACTTTATAAATATAATTTTGACAGTTCTGATTACCATAATGTCTGTAAATTGCAAAGTTTAACTGTCTTTTCTTTTCTAGGTTTTCGTTTCATCGGGGCGATAGTGCGAGCCGGACTGAGCCCCAACTTCACCGAGAACCTGCCGTGCGGCTCACCGGCTACCAGCAACCAGTCTCAGAATGGAGCCGTGATCCCGTTCCTGTGCGAGACACCGCGGACGGCCAGGTACGTCAGCTTGGACATCGATGACAGCATGCCCAGTGTTAATCCGACAGCAGCTTTTCTGCAAATTGCCGAGGTGGCGGTGGAAGAGTACACGTCTGGAGAGTGTGCTGGTAGGTAGACTTGATATCCTGTCGGTCGGTAATTGGCTGGGTTTAGTCCGAATGTGCAACCGCATAGTTGCGTACCGTACCGTACCGCCGGCGTTGACTACCACAGCTTATATATATGGTGTACTATAAAGGACACCTATCTGTCCATCGTGCCTGTGAGTAAAACCATCGTGCCTGTGAGTAAAACATCGTGCCTGTGAGTAAAAACATCGTGCCTGTGAGTAAAACATCGCGCCTGTGAGTAAAAACATCGTGCCTGTGAGTAAAACATCGCGCCTGTGAGTAAAAACATCGTGCCTGTGAGCAGGTCCATCGTGCCTGTGAGTAAAACATCGCGCCTGTGAGTAAAAACATCGTGCCTGTAAGTAAAACATCGCGCCTGTGAGTAAAAACATCGTGCCTGTGAGTAAAACATCGCGCCTGTGAGTAAAAACATCGTGCCTGTGAGTAAAACATCGCGTCTGTGAGTAAAAACATCGTGCCTGTGAGTAATACATCGCGCCTGTGAGTAAAAACATCGTGCCTGTGAGTAAAAACATCGCGCCTGTGAGTAAAACATCGCACCTGTGAGTAAAAACATCGTGCCTGTGAGTAAAAACATCGCGTCTGTGAGTAAAAACATCGTGCCTGTGAGCAGGTCCATCGTGCCTGTGAGTAAAACAGCGCGCCTGTGAGTAAAAACATCGTGCCTGTGAGTAAAACATCGCGCCTGTGAGTAAAAACATCGCGCCTGAAAGTAAAAACATCGTGCCTGTGAGTAAAAACATCGTGCCTGTGAGTAAAAACATCGCGCCTGTGAGTAAAAACATCGTGCCTGTGAGTAAAACATCGCGCCTGTGAGTAAAAACATCGCGCCTGTGAGTAAAAACATCGTGCCTGTGAGTAAAAACATCGTGCCTGTGAGTAAAAACATCGTGCCTGTGAGTAAAAACATCGTGCCTGTGAGTTAAACCATCGTGCCTGTGAGTAAAAACATCGTGCCTGTGAGTAAAAACATCGTGCCTGTGAGTAAAACCATCGTACCTGTGAGTAAAAACATCGTGCCTGTGAGCAGGTCCATCGTACCTGTGAGTAAAACCGTCGTGCCTATGGGGCGCAATGTGTAAATAAATTATTTAACAAAATTGTTAATATATATTTCATTATTTATTATATAATTCAGTTTTTCGGATAATTATATGTAAATAATTGTTTGGCCGTTTGCATTATATGTAAATACATTTATTTGCCACCGCATTATTTATATATAATTTATTTGCAAACTTATTATTTATATATAATTTTTGCACACTTTTTTATTTATATATAATTTATTTGCAACCTTTTTATTTATATATAATTTTTTGCACACTTTAATTTTTTATTATATAATTTATTTGGTACCTCATTATTTATATATAATTTTTTGCACACTTTAATTATTTATTATATAATTTATTATTTCTTATATAATCCATTAATTATTTTATAATTCATTACTTATATATAATTCATTATTTATATATAATTCATTATTAATTATTTAATGCATTATTTATTATATAATGCATTAAATTATATAATGCATTATTCATTATATAATTCATTATTTATTATATAAGTGTGCGCCACACACATTATTTATAAATAATTGGTTCGGTCTGAGGCGAACGAGGCTATGATCTATAAATAATGGTTTTCAGCAAACAAGGGAACAAGACTACAGCAAAACCATTATATATTATATAATGGTTTTTTGAGCTAAATAATGAAACTCGCATGCAAATTACCTTTACTAGGACACGCCTATGTTTTAAATAGTCATATCACATTGCACACCGCACTTGCTATAGAAAACATGCAGTATTGTGTATTTTGGGTGGGTCTGAATTTTTGTAATTTGCGCCCCGAAAGCTATTGGAAATGACTCTCAAATGTTGTAAACCCTTGTCTCAATTAATGTAAACTAGCGTATTTCAGGTCAACGATTCTTAAAAATTACGGAGAAAGTAGCTATGCACAACGCTCGCACTAGCTAGCTACGATGGCCATCATGATCTATCCCGCAGTGCAGTGCAAAAAAATATATATAAATAATACATTTTATCACTGCAAGATAAAATACATTATTCTCCACAAACGCACAGTTGAGTCCTACACTTTCTTTCATCAGCTGATGGTTGCTATGGTGTAGGAAAAGGAAACAAAAGTAAACATATCGATTGGCCTAATTGCAGTTATCTGCCCCTTGATGGCTTAAAGCCAAAAACGATGTTCTTGGCATAAGGATTGATGTTTTTGGCTAATTTGATACAAATGTATCAAGTTCACGCGCGTGCATTGCAATGCACGCGCGCAAGAAAGGCCAGTTCGGCGTAGCTTTTTGAGACCGCTACATCAAAAATAAACCCACCTCCTCCCCTTCATCCGCCATATTTTACGAATTTATAAATGGCAGTAAGGTCCTTGGAGCGACAGGCAGTGCCTCAATTCAAACTAAATAAACAAGTTGGGTATTTAGTTCTGAAGTAAGACTTGGAATTTGGATGTTAAACATTTAAGAGGTTGTGTTTAGTCTTTGTAAAAAAGTACGCCAAGCACCCATTTGTACTGATGGGGCGTGCCAACCGTATCTACGAGCGGTGGACCAAATCGGGGTGCTTTTCCAATTTATTAAGTAATTTTTGCATATATTCAAGTCACGTGACAAAAACTAAAAAAACACTTTGGCTAGCACCCACTTGTTCTGGTGGGGCTAGTGAATGGTTGGCAAGCGTGCCAAGGTTTTGGGCCCAATGATGCCAAGCATGGCAAGGAGGGGCAAGCGTGCCCCGTTTTATGGCAAGCGTGCCAAAATGTTTAGGAAAATAACTTTAAGTAAATCGAAAGATAATTTTAATTGTTCCGTTAAAGGTATTCACTGCCATTTAATCAAGTTAAACATTGACCAAGGAGAAATAAAATAGCGGCTCAAAAACTATGCCAAAAAGTCAAGTCATCGTTTGGATGCGTGGTTTTGTGTGTTGTCTGAGAATAATGAGGTACCAAATAAATTATATAATAAATAATTAAAGCGTGCAAAAAATTATATATAAATAATGAGGTATCAAATAAATTATGTATAAATAAATAAAGTGTGCAAAAAATTATATATAAATAAAAAGGTTGCAAATCAATTATATATAAATAAAAAAAGTGTGCGTAAAATAATATATAAATAATAATGTTGCAAATAAATTATATATAAATAATTCAAGTTTGCCCAAAACTATATGTAAATAATTAGGTTGCAAAAAAAATTATATATAAATAATGCGGTGGCAAATAAATTTATTTACATAGAATGCAAACGGCCAAACAATTATTTACATATAATTATCCGGAAAACTGAATTATATAATAAATAATGAATTATATATAAACAATTTTGTTAAATAATTATTTACACATTGCGCCCCATAGGCACGACGGCTTTACTCACAGGCACGATGGACCTGCTCACAGGCACAATGTTTTTACTCACAGGTACGATGGTTTTACTCACAGGCACGATGTTTTTACTCACAGGCACGATGTTTTTACTCACAGGCACGATGTTTTTACTCAAAGGCACGATGGTTTTACTCACAGGCACGATGTTTTTACTCACAGGCACGATGTTTTTACTCACAGGCACGATGTTTTTACTCACAGGCACGATGTTTTTACTCACAGGCACGATGTTTTTACTCACAGGCGCGATGTTTTACTCACAGGCACGATGTTTTTACTCACAGGCGCGATGTTTTACTCACAGGCACGATGTTTTTACTCACAGGCACGATGTTTTACTCACAGGCGCGATGTTTTACTCACAGGCACGATGGACCTGCTCACAGGCACGATGTTTTTACTCACAGGCGCGATGTTTTACTCACAGGCACGATGTTTTTACTCACAGGCACGATGGTTTTACTCACAGGCACGATGGACAGATAGGTGTCCTTTATAGTACACCATATATATATCGTCCCAATTTTACGTGAAGCGCGCGGTATATATACATACGGCAACGATTCCTGCATCCGCAGGCCCATATGCGTGTACCATGATTTCAAATACAGACTTTAATAATCTGCACCCACGTTTGTATACAAGGCTTGGACAATGATACAAAAAGAATTGAACGGAGCACTCTGATTGGCTAAGGTTCAGGAGGATATGAATATTTATATCACACGTACCTGACATTTACACTTCTCGATGCACATGCGATGCGTGGTGACTTCCTCACCGGTACCGTTGCGCGAAATTTCTTTTCCCAAACGAGATCGGACAAAATCAAAAGAGGGCGCTCTCTCTCTGCGTTATGCATATTCATGATGTTCAGGGAAATTAAAGAACACGTTATATAACAAGGAATACTAGTGTTTAAATCACCGACGATGGGCAGCTCATTCGTGGACTGGTTGGAAAAAGTCTCAGTGAGCGTTTTCACTTCTTCTCTTTTACCTATTAAATAAGTAAAGTGATGAAGGAACATGGAGAAGAAGGCATTACAAATGCATGTAATGGACCAATCAGAAGATGGAAAGCGGATGTCGTTTGGGGAAAAAAAATTCGCTACCGGTGCCACACACACAGCCTGGAGCAAATCGATGGCTTGAGCAGTCGAAATTAATTCCTGGACCATTTGGAATTCCAAGTATCACAGGGATATATAATAATAATAATAATCAGAGCTTATGGCACGAAATATACATTCTTTGCCCCAAAATAGTCTAATATCAAGCCCAATGAACGGTGATAACTGCATTAGCACTGCAATCCAATAAAATCAGGCACAAAAGGATCTTTTAGTTTGGAGGACTAGGAAAACACTTCATCCTTTGGGAACGAGTTCTATCACTGCTTTCTTGATGCAACACTTTTTTTTGAATCATGAAGATATAACATACAATTCTTATTGAATAGAATTAAAGTGGGGCATCTGTTTTTTTTTTCTATGCCATAAATTAAGCGTCCATTTCGAATATCACGCACTAGTGTTTTATTTTAATAAGTCAATTAGCAGTGTTATGATTAGTATTCATTAAGAACGTTCTTGCATTTTTTGAGATCTGGGTTGATGTTCATATCAAGTTTCATGTTCATGCGTTGCACTCCTCGAAAGAAAAACTGCAGAGTAAAAAGAAATCGAATAGAAGCAAAGGACCGGAGACTAGCTCATCATACGATCAGCATCTGACATTGCTGGAGAATAAAGCAAATTGTATAGTGTTCAATATTTTAGTACAGCTAGTATTAGTTGGTTTGACACTTAAAAGACATTTCAACGAACCTTTCGTATGCTTTGGGTAGGTTTTATACCAGTTAGGTTTTCAAAATGTGTTTTCTTTTTCCAGCCCCTGGTTATTTGGGATGTTTTGGGGACGCTAAAGATCGTTCCCTAACGGTCGGTCCTGCGATAGAATACAATGAGCAGTCGGTAGAGTGGTGCTTCAGAAACTGTTTGGAACGTACCGAGTATAAATATGCGGGACTGGAATTCGAACACGAATGCTGGTGTGGGAATGAAGACTACGATAAACACGGTAAAGCGCCGGATTCCGATTGTCAAGATTTGTGCACCGGAAACAGCGACCAGATCTGTGGAGGCGATTGGCTCTTATCCGTGTACAGAGGTGAGTACACAAGCTAACCAACTGAACACATTTAACATTTCATTTAAATGTATTGTGGACTTTCAATCAAAGCCAGTCGACTGCATCACAAGTCCTCATCAGTCCATCACAAGTCATCCAGTCCTGCGTCAAGTCCCAATCTATTGAAATAAACCGAGACAAAGGCATTCCTTTGTCAACATTTATCCAATGTTACTTGCGTAGGTGCTCATCTTTTCAAACCGTGGACGAAAAATACCAGAGAACAACAGGGAACCATATCGTCCACGATTCCCAGCATACGTCCACGATTGGGGTCGTGACAAAATTTATGGGAGTCTTCCTAAAAAGTTAAAGTAAAAAAAAAGGGACAATAGGACGTCCACGATCGACGGTGAACACACGATTGTGTGAGTGTACTTGTGAAGTAGCTTGTGATTTACTTGCGAAGAGAATCGAAATTGACTCGTCAACAACATGGATCCCCTCATCAGAAGTTCACAAGATACGTATTATGTTGTCTTATTGCAGTATCACAAGGAGTGTGTAGTAACGACATAGGACCACCCACCAACGGAGAGCACACCATCACCAACCCGCGTTCACTGTCTTACAATCTCATCAACTTCAAGTTCTTCGGGACTAGTGTAGATTTCTCCTGTTATCATGGATATACCCTCCATGGAGCATCCAGTATTGAATGCATTGAGACTGGCTACAACAACGTCACGTGGAGTGACTCGGTACCAACATGTGAAGGTATTTAATCATTAAAATACATTTACCTATCATAATCAGAAAGAAATGAAACTAGACTACGAACAATAAACTCCAAATTAATAAACACTGACCTCTCCGATTCAAACCTAATGTTTAAGTCTATACTATGTAATAAAGACGGTCAGTTGAACTTTATTGTATAAGTGGATGAACAGGCTCGTCGATCACAATAGGCGTAAAGCGACCGGGGAGTTTTGGGTTTCACATTGGTTATTTCACAAATGATTCGCTATTAAACTTTGTGGTCTCTATTTGTCTTTTCATTTTACATATAGATAATGTTTGTAGCAACCCAAACCTCTGCCGCAATGGCGGCACATGTATCCCAGAGACCACCGGTAATTTCTATAACTGTTCCTGCCCCGCCGGGTTTAGTGGAGGGGATTGCCAAAGTGAGTATATATTATGGAACAATGGACATAATGTGCGACTATGTTATATGGTTGTTACCTTTCTTGAAATTGTTCCATTTCAAAGTATCAATTGTGTTTGACTTGGACCTCGTATATAACGTCACCCACGTATTAATGTATTTCATCATCTTCTTTCAAGTTCAAGACATCGCACGATGCCTCCTCGATCAGGTCGATCACAATAGTCGTAAAGTGACCGGGGAGTTGTGGGTTTTACATTGGTTATTTCACAAATGTTTCGCTATTACACATTGTGTTTTAATTTTTCTTTTGATTTTACATATAGATGATGTTTGTAGCAACCCAAACCCCTGCCAAAATGGCGGCACATGTATCCCAGATACCAGCGGTAATTTCTATAACTGTTTCTGCCCCGCCGGTTTTAGTGGAGGTGATTGCCAAAGTGAGTTCATTTTATGGAACAAGGGAAATTAAGTACAACAGTGTTATATGGTTGTTACCTTCCCTGAACTTGTTCAAAGTATCAATTATATATGACTTGAACCTCATATAAGGTCCCTACGTAATATTCTGCGTTTTTATGGGTAGGCCTACTTATTATATTCGAGTCATCATCGGTCTGTCTTCTTTTATGTTCACGACATCGCACGATGCCTCCTGGATCAAGTCATCTTATCTCCGATAGTAGGAATCAGTTGTAATCTTAGAAAGCTATTGTCCTCCAGCTGAAAATCTAGTTGAATCAAAAATGCTAATATAAAATAATAACTACAATGATAGTAAAATATATGAACAAATTATTTCAAATTATATTTCACCAGTTTTACATTGTATCACCTGATTTGCATTTGTATGTCTTTTTGAAGTTTTTATTAGTATCTACATTACACACAGATGTTATCCTCCATTTTAATGCATAGTTAGTGTAGCTATGGAGTGTGTTTCAGCTTTGAAAATAATGTGGTTCCATGTACACACCTGTACAAGTACTTACTTACCCTGGTCTTTCCACTGACTATCCTTATTACTGAGCATGATACACATGTATATCTTAATCCTTCATGATTAGTCGTCAAAATCTCCTTGCTTCTACGGTGATAGATTTAATGTGTGATTATCTTCAGATCTAGATTGAGTAAACTGTTTGCGTACCGCGATCCATGCCAAGGTGGCATGGGTGGCTTGGGCGTAAAGCACTCCCCTCTCACCAATGTGGCCCTAGTTCGTATACCGGCTGCGGATCGTACATGCCATATGTCAGTACAGTTGTGTGTTGATTCTCTCCTGGGCCACTTGGGTTTTTCTCTTGGCCCTCTGGTTTTCTTCCCTTCTTAACAAAATCAAACGCTCAAATCCGTGGTCTTGTATGGGTCGACCACATTGTAGCCGCGTCCTTCGCAATTCAGCTTCTCAGTTGCAAGTAAGGAAGATTAGCCTCCCAAATTATTATTATTATATCCAAGTTAATCAACGTGAACGTTTTGAAAATGAATCACAAGTCGTTCAGCCTCTCGTTGTAAAGTGACAAACTGTTCGAATGAACGGTAAAAGAACAACCACATAGTCCTTTCTTCTTTTCGCATGCATTGCCTCGCTTCATAAGACTTTACCAGTGACTGACGTATTGGTCATGACTCTTCCGTAGGGTTACCTTCTTCAGTTGAAGCAAGGGGAGTAAAACCCGTTAAATGGGTAACTGTTGTTGCCTGCAAAATGGTTTTGTGAAAATAAAAATATTGTTTTGCCTTTTCAAAAAAAAATGGACGTCGTTTCTTTCATTATGGTAATCAACTGCTTTTAAACATGATAGAGTTATAGATGCTTAATTTGACATACTTTTTTACTTCAATATCTTTCCTATTCTATTTACATTCAGCCGATGACCCTTGCATGTCCAACCCCTGCCAAAATGGCGGACAGTGCATGCCGCAAGCAGAAAACATGTATAACTGTACGTGCCAAAATGGCGCCACGGGTAACAACTGCCAGAGTAAGTAGCTTACATACCCTTCGGCCTCCTTAAACACCCTGCAGTATTGTTGTATTCAAATGCAAATGCAAGGGCGGATCCGGGGGGGGGGGGCAAAGGGGGCCATGCCCCCCCCCAAAAAAAACCCACGAAACCAATTGTTTTTGTTTTTTTATGTGACGTCGCAATAAAGGCAGGCAATGAGTACACCACCATCTTTTCCTCAAAAACATTGGCTAAAGTGGTCAGAAATTGCCTCAGATCGCACCACAGAGCATCGAGAATCCAACAAAAATTCGGGGCCCTTAAGCGGGCCCCGAACCCCACACCGTAATTTTTTGACCCACTTTTTGGGAGACACTTTTTGTTTTTGCCCCCCCCCAAAAAAAATTGTGTTCTGGATCCGCCCTTGTGCAAACGTTACAAAAGTATGCTTACCCCAATTAACTATGTTTGCAGACTTACAATTCTTACAAGTCCCGGTTCAGATTTTCGAAATCCACGTTCACTTTGACTGGATACTTTCAGGGTCACATGACACTTTTCGGGTCAAAATCACACTTCTCGGGATAATTTTCCGTGTCATTTTGACCCGGTGTAGCATGAATTTAGGTTTTATGAAATACGGACTCATTGATGGTAATGCGCATGCTCATGCATAGATAATAAGAAGAGGGATTGGTCACGCTACAACAAAGAGTCCGATTTTCATATGACACCGGCAGTATTGGCAATAGTGTCTTTTTGAGTAAGAAAGTGTCATTGTTAACCTGAAAATTATCAGGTCAAACATTATTCGGGATGCTGGTCAACTCTGACTTGGGATTTTTAAGAATGTAGTCCAATAAAGACCATAAGTTAATAAAGGGAGTCAAATGAAAACCCAAGATTTAGAACTTGTTGAAAGTGACATCTGGTTGATTATGGATTTTATTTTTACACTGCAGACGCTCATTCAAACACCAAGACGATCATTATTGTCGTTCTCGTCGTCGTCGTGATTGTCGTACTGGTCATTGTCGTGGTTTGCTTCGTCAAAAGGTCACGACGAAAGCGCAGAGGCAGCCTGCCGTCTGCCGTCGATAGAGGGCGTGGACAGGAGCTCATTCAAAAGGTGGGTAGTTTTTCTAAGACGTCTATTTTTTATTGATCTAGTATCACAACCGAGTAAAGTGATGAGCAAATCACCAGTGACTATGCAGTGTCTAAAAAACAGCTTCTCAAAGATGGAAGATTCCGTCGTGTAAGCCTTACGAGAACTCAAACAATTCTCAGAACGTCTTAAATCCTGTCAGACACCTTTGTAAATCTTGTCAGAATGTTGAACATTTTCTCGTGTAAATATGCCATAGTTTCAGGCACATATTTCTTAATCAGCACGATTTTGCCTCGTAAAAACCACTTTTTTGGAACTAGAAATACCAGAGTTTAAACGCTGTGCGGACTCGCAACGTAAAAACTTGTCCTGTGGCAAAATGTTCGCCCTAAAAGTACAATCCGACCTTATTATTTACTCGAAAACCAAAAGCACAATGGTCCTTTCCTTTTTTTCTCCACCTTGCAGAAATTGTCGAATATTTATTGGATTGACACTCATCAAGCATCGACCTCGGAGTTCAATGGTCCATCCAAGGAGTTCCCGCGGGACAAACTGCACATCCTCGGCCAGTTAGGCAGCGGCTCGTTTGCTGTGGTCTACAAGGCCGAGGCAGAGGGAATCACCCGTAGGGGAACCAATACGACGGTGGCTGTGAAAATGTTGAAAGGTATGACGTTGTTTTATGCCTAGTGTACTAAAAAGTTGGTTGGGGGGACTATGATAATGTTTCCAATTGAAAGACCCTTCTCTGCCTGTAAGTCATTGACCAATTAGATCACGACTTTTGAACAGGTGACAACAGTATTGTAATGACAGTCTTCGGCAAGACAGTCTTCGGGGGCGCCTCCCAGATTTTAGTTTGATAATACACATAATAACTATTCACGAAGATAAAGCAAGAGTAAATTAATAAAAGCAGATAAATTATAATATTGGGTGACACTTACAAATTATAAGACCATGTGCATGGGGCGTGCCCGGAGGAGAGCACCCAGCAAACGGAAACCCAACGTAACAGTTTGACAACTCAAAGAAAAAGAAAGAATGACCAACGCCCAATTGCGCGCACCGGGTGGGGTGGGGGGGGGTGGGGTGGGGTGGGGGCGGGCATATTGTAAACTCCGGAACGGTCCATTCTAATTGAACGAGAAAGTGTGACGTCACCTCTCCATGGCCAAGCCCACTTCCCCCGAGAGCGTTTCACGTGCATAACACAACGACAATGTTCACGTACGTTTAACCCTAAAGGGGCCGGGTTATTTTGACCATCTCTCAGCCGGGGGGGGGGGGGCGGATTCCGCCCCCCCCCCCAAGATCTCGGCCATCGAGTGAAGAAAAATTTTGAAACTCAGCACATGCATAGAGCAACTCTTCCTAAACATGCCCAAGAAATTTCATTACTATAGGTCAAAGGGTTTTGGAATTATGGCTAATTAATTATTCATATGTGTGAATGGCAATTCTGCTCGGAGTACACGACGTATATACGAAAATTCAGTTTTCATGGCGCGTAGCGCCGGAAAATTTTTCGCTACGGGCCAACCCGTGGTCCGATTTTTATGTTTTTGGTATCAAAAGATGCGCAAAGCTCGAGGCTAAAAAGTCGTAACAGCTCGGATCGCGAAAAAAATGTTTTAGTAGCTATCGCGGAAAATGTTGAGGGGGGGGGGGAGCGGATTCCGCCCCCCCGGCCCCTTTAGGGTTAACAAACGTGAGCGATCACAGACAGCAATTTTAAACTCTACTTTCACGGAACAGTTTCAAAAATTAGTAGGTCTACCCGAAAGAAGAAGATGGAACTGGATAGGTCATATACAGCGAAAAGAAAAGGAACACCATTGCATGACTGCTTTGACATGGCATCGAAATGGCAAACGAAAAGTTGGCAGGCCAAAAACAACATGGCGTAGAACAGTGGAAAAGGAAAAGGAAGATTTTGGATGGAAGTCATGGAATGAGGCACGGAATAAAGCAAAAAACAGGAGACAGTGGAAGAAGAGTGTGGAGGCCTTATGTGCCAGCCGGCACGAAGGGGATAGCCGAGCCGAGCTACCCGAAAATGATTCCATGCAGCAGATTATCACCATCTTAACATCCACAGTTGTGTATATTTTTTGTCTGAAAGCCATTTATAACTAGAAACGGATTCACAACGGCTATAGCTAAACCACGGTGTCCCCTGGGTCGTTGCAGTGCGCGTGAACCATTAATCACGGTTGCACCCAATTGACGTCGGAGTGACGTCACGACTACGCCAGCGAATTTAGTGCCAGTCTACCGAAGTTAGTCACAACGCTGGTGACCAGTTACTGCATTATATTGCATTATAAAGTAGGGAGCCATTGCGACAGGGAGCCAAGTCGTGTGCTGACATTGATCGTCGTGCGCATGTTCGCCCTGGCGCGCAGTCGCGCAACGTTCCTAACGAATCCATGGCCGTTGATGGAATTCATTTATCGAACCGGTTCGATACGGTGTTCAAATAACCACTCAACGGTAAAAATAAGAAATCCTGCATTCATTTAGGGCATTCAGGGAGCTTTGAAAACTTGCACGGGAAATAGCCGTGATATTTTTTCTTTACTTTTCAGCCAGAAGTATTTTCTCTATGCCTTTTCAGAATTTGCTACACCAAACGATCAGAGTGATTTCAAGAAAGAGTTGCAAATGTACTCCATGATGGACCAGCACCCCAATGTCCTGTCTATGCTCGGATACTGCACTGATAAAGGTACAATTCAAATAATGTGACAACAAATTCCAGTTGCATCTCCAATTTGATGAGTTTTGATAAGTTTTAAAAACAATACAAGTTTTCAGATGGCCGACCTAGTGAGTGAGTGTATTACCCACACAGTTAAAATAATTTGCATTGACTGTCATGCGAAGCGTCAACTTCTGTGCATACTATTTGAATTGATTAAGCTGTGAGTGAGAGCGGTTTAGGCAACTCTTTGTCTATTCCTGTGAATTCCCCAACGACATAGCGCCCTCATCTTGCATGCATTTGAGATGCTTTGTATTTTCAACCCAGTTTTGATGTCTTTCTACAGACCCAATGTACATAATCCTGGAGTACGTTCCCCATGGAGACCTGCAGACCTACCTGCGACACATTCGGACGGGCACCGAACCCTTCTACCTGAAGAAGGAAGAGTTCAAGGAGAAGAAGGACCTGACACCGACGGAGATCCTGACTTTCGCATCTCAGGTAGTCAGGGGGATGGAGTATCTAGCATCGAAACAGGTGATCGCATGTAGGGTTAATGGGGATAAATCAGTGTAGAATGCGTTATGTGCCACCAAGAGTTTGCCTCGTAAAAGTAACTTTTAAACGTTGCCATGATGCAGGAGTTGTATTTGTGCATCCAGCTGCCACTTTGTGTGTGTTGTTTGTCATTTAGGATTAAGTAATCTGCCAAGAAAAGAAAAACCAGAACACACGCAACCCACTGTACACTACTGTTTACATTCCTTTTGTTCTGAAGAAAAACTCATGTTACTCCCACTGTGAACACTCTTTCAGCCTAATGTTCGAATCATGATTTCCTTGAGTGTTACTCTTCTGTTTGCGATACATTTGACCCCCAAACGCCTCTAAACCTGTTTTCCAGGGAGGAGGAAACCTTGTGTGGACGTGGGCAGTGTCGCACCCAAGGGGGGTGGGGGGGGGTTGAGCAGCCCCTCCCCAGAGGTTGTCATTGTTTTGTTTTGTTTTTGTATTTTTTTTAGTCACACGATTTGACCTTGGTGGTACGTATGTGGCCTATTTTCGAGCAGTATAATATGGGTGTAAGTGGCGCCACCAACGTCAAAATAGTCAGCCCCCCCCCCAAAAAAAAAACCCCAATGTTTTACTTCTAACAAATTTGAAATCAAAAAATAGTTGTGAGCCCCCCCCCCCCAAAAGCCAACTCCTGGGTGCGCCACTGGACGGTTACGTGGACATGTTTTGTTTAGAGGTCCACACAGAGAATGTAAGGCTCATACACAGAACCTACAACCAAACCTACACTGTAAAAAATTTGCCCGTAATTTTACGGTAAAAGCACTGTCAAACGGGTTGCCAACAAAAGACCGTAAAATTACGGTCAGTTACGGGTTTCCAAAAATGACGGTGACCGTAATTTTAACGCGAATTTCCCGTAAATTTAACGGCAATTTGCCGTAAAGTAATGGAATACAAAATGGGTGGCGTCAGAGCTGAGTGTAGGGGTAGGGAGGGGGGTAAGTTCCAGTTGCAGCAGCTGGGAGTGGGGTATGCATACGTCTTGCAGCTTGTCTTTTACACGCATAGTGGTTTTCAAATCACTTAAGGTGAGATTATCTTTAAGTTGTAATTTTCATTTACAACTTTTTACCGATCCCACAGAAAGGGGTCAACCTATTGCTGGTCAATACCCGCAGGATTAGCTGCTTGACTCTTCAAATTCCGCAATACCAAAGCTTTGACGTCCCAATGATCAGCACGTAGCGAACGTTGCGTGAGTGCACACGAATCACAGCTTTAAAAACTAGGCGGTTGTGAGGGTTTGAAAGGGTAGGGGTTTTGAAAAGTTACGAATACAAACCATTGTGAATCCAAGCCTGCGTCAGGGCACCAAGTTTTACTGGAAATGCACGTAGCACGTTCTTTCTTGTGACGGTTCGAGCAATAACGGTACTAAACCGTAAACAATACGGGAAATGGACAGTGTTTTTACGGGTTTTGTTTACAGTGTATCAAACAAACAAACAAACAACCAAACAAATTGCTCAGTCATATGCCTTGTTCTCAACCAATTACTTCTCACCACTTTTTTTCTGCATTTGTCTAGATCATCCCCGAAACATGCTTTGTCTTTTGACGGGTCCCCTTCAACGCAGATTCGCACTCAATCTGATCGCTCTACAAACCATACTTGCAACAATTCCCCTGTGGCAGTTAATACTGATTCTAAAAGTGTGTCTTTTGCCATATCTTGCAGACTCAAAATTAATTCTTTCCGACACATTTTCTTGTTTCCGTGGTCTGATGTAGTTTATTCTCCTATCTTTTCACAGTGTATCCACAGGGACTTGGCGACCCGTAACATCCTTCTTGGCGAGGGATTGATATGCAAGGTGTCTGACTTTGGACTGGCTCGAGAAGTGGCCGAAAAAAGTCAATACGAAATGCAATCACAGGTACATACATACAGTCGTGTTCACGCCGTCGATCTCGGAAGTCCTATTGTTCCTCTTTTGAAGACTCCCAAATGTTTGTACACGGCCCCAATCGCGGACATTTGCTGGGAATCAGTGACGATATTGCTCTCTTTTGTTCTCTGGCATTTTTCGTCCACGGTTTGAATGCCTGAACACGCCCATGTATATAATGTCATTTAAGTACATGCACTTCGGAGGTAGCTCTCTAGTGGTTTAAGCTTTCCATGAATCAGGTTGGTGTCTTGCACTAGTTAAGCATGCACTCTCGATTGGAGCACGTCAGTAAAAGACCCATCAGTAAAAGCACGTTTGTTTGACAGAAATAACGTATTACATTGCCTGAGTTTTGAAGATTTGCTTTAAATTGCAGTGTAGCAGTCGAGTACTTTTTTTCCGAGTACCGAGTACTGCCGAGTACATAGGTCACCGAGTACGAGTACTAGTACCTGTACATGTACTTCCGAGTACAAGGGCGGATCCGGGGGGGGGGCAAAGGGGGCCATGCCCCCCCCCCCCCAAAAAAAAAAAACGAAACCAATTTTTTTTTTTTTATGTGACATCGCAATAAAGGCAGGCAATGAGTACACCACCATCTTTTCCTCAAAAAAACATTGGTTAAAGTGGTCAGAAATTGCCTCAGATCGCACCACAGAGCATCTAGAATCCAAAAATTTTCGGGGCCCTTAAGCGGGCCCCGAACCCCACGCCGTATAATTTCTTTGACCCACTTTTTGGGGGACCAAAATATGTTGGGCCCCCCAAAAAATAATTGTGTTCTGGATCCGCCCTTGTCCGAGTACAAGTACAGGTCTCTGAGTACGAGTATTGTACTTCCGAGTACGAGTACGAGTACTTCTATTTCCGAGTACGAGTACGAGTACTTCTGTTTCAGAATACGGCCATACTGTCAATGGTTCCTTGTGCGTAATTGATCCAGACCCTGTCAGACCGATAAACAGACCCACTCAAGGCTAGCTGTTAAAACCTCAATTTCTCCGCAAGCCAATCAACCATTTCAAACTGGAAATATCGATAAAATAAGGCCGAGGTAAGTCGAGCTATACCGTTTCTTTCGAGTACTGCTATTCGAGTACGAGTACTTTGATGATCGAGTACAATTTCGACATGTCGAGTACGAGTACTTTGCTGCCCGAGTAAGTACCGTCATTTCAAGTACGAGTACGAGTACTCAAAAAAAGGAATCGAGTAGTACTCGTACTCGAGTATGAGTACCAAGTACGACTACTACAACAATGACTTCTTGTCAGCACACAGATAGAAATTACAGAATGTACAGCAGGAAATCAAATGCTCGAAAAATGTCCACTTCTTTTGTATGGTGACATTTATATTTGTGAATAATAATGTAACATAGCAGTTAACGTTATGCTATTAATTCCAGAGAGTTAACTTAATGCATCATATCTTTAAATCAATCTGAACAGGGCAAGGTACCAGTTCGTTGGATGGCTCCTGAGTCACTGCTTAGTAATATGTACACGAGCAAGAGTGACGTATGGTCTTTTGGTGTTCTTCTGTGGGAACTGGTAACGTTAGGTGAGTCAGAATCTGTGTTGATTTGGTAATGTTTTTGGAGGGCTCCTTCCTCTTTTCTTGATACCGCTGTCATATGAAATTAGGACTGCTATGAAATCTTGGTTTTTTTACCTTATATGAACTCGAACCCTCACATGTGACCTGTCACTGTCATTATCATGTTCACTTACGCATGCGCAATACAACCAATCACTTCATATTTCATGGAGTCTAAATTTCACACTACACCGCACCCAACAATTTGTTTCCGACGTTTACTGAAGCACATTTTCAGATATTAACCCAATGCCATTTTGAAAATGTAAGGTTTTGAAAAGGTAACTTTGAATTATAGCAAAATGTAATCTGACGTCACATACCTTGAATTCACGTCTTGTTCACCCCAATATGGGGTCTTGACAGCGCCCTCAATGTCCAGTACTTTCTCTGAACTTACGTTCTTTAACACCTGTTTTTTTCCCATCAGGATCGCATCCATACCCTGGCATGTCATCACAGGAGGTCATCAATGAACTAAAAAAGGGCTACAGACTACCCAAACCAGAGCATTGTGGCGACGACATGTAAGGATAATGGGGTCAGGCGCGGATCCAGGGTGGGGGGTGCCCCCCCCCCCCAGTTCTGTCAACAAAAAATCCACAGAAATTCATGAAAAAAGCGAAACCCCCCCCCCCCCTCCCGCTCTGACACCCAAAATGTTTTTACTGGTAATAATGTCTGCCTTTGCACACAAAAAAGAAAGAGTCGGCTTTGTTAGGGGGTATATGTAGACTATTCTGTGATATAGTGTTAATTATCGTCGGATTTTAACAGCGCCCTCACTGAAAGTGTGGTACGATTTGTTTACAGCGTTTTGAATCCTTTGGCAAAGGTGCTTTATAAATTTCAGTTTTTGTCATCGGCAGCATGGGGTTGGTATTAATCGTATGTAGCATATAATTCGTCACCGTTTTCACGAAGAGACAAAAGTCTGCCCGTTAAGTGAAAAGCATGTTTTGAGAAAATCGCATTTGAAGTTGGTCTCTTTTTGCATCGCACATTTCCATATTACCCGGTACTCTTTTTAATTCACCAATGTTACCACACGAAAGACCAGATGTTGAATGACTAAAAACTATTAAATTATTTCCAAAAAGAATTAATTAACATTGGTTAATTAGCAAAGAAACACTTTTGTCTGTTCGTGAAAACGCTAAAATGTCTTTTGCCCTCCCCGCAGTCACTTTTCTCTCTTCGTGAAAACATTACGCGCTGTACGCGCAGTGGCGTAGTGGGGTAAAATGCACTTTCGCTCTTCGTGAAAACGGTACGGGCAGTACGCACAGTGGCGTTGTGCAGTAAAATCATATAGCTCTAGGGCAAAATGCACTTTCGCTTTTCGTGAAAACGGTCAAGTCGATCTAGGGCAGTGTTTTTCCCCTACATTCACGCATTAACCGTGTACACAACTAAGGTAGATGAGCAAACACGCATTATTTTGCAACTCAAAGCAACTTGGTTTCCATGTAAAATATAATTATGGTCTTTTTGACAAATCATTAGTCTCTTATCCGGCCGTGTAACAGATGCAGTAAGATTATATGACGTAATTTATTATGTGTTACTGCAGTAGCTATAGGGTGCTTTCGGGTTACTGTGTGATGGAAATTTAGGTCAATGGGACTGGGTATATTTTGTTTACATTAATTTTGTACAGTTTTTTTTTTCCATTTAAACTGTTCTCATTTATTTGTTTTGTTTCCACACATTTATGATCAAGTAACTTCAAGAGTACCCTTCAGCTTAGTGATAGACTTTTCATTTTGTCTGATACCATGAACGCAAAATATTATCAAAATGAAGTTTTCATTACATGCCATTTGCCATTTTAATTTTACTGTTTTTCCATTTTTTTGGGGGGGGCTTTCGTGAAACAAAGGGAATTAAGTTCTGCATGTATAGCACTTTCAAAATCTAGGATATGAAAGCCCAATTCATCAGCTTTCTTTTAGTGCAAGAATAATAATCAAGTCATTCATGTAATGTTCACGTTACGGAATTGTAAACACAACCACCGTTTAAAGTTCAGTCCAGAAACCTTGATAAATAATGATAAAGGCCTATTCGGCTTAAATTCAAGCCAGTTCTAAATCAAATGGTTGTGGTATCCACTAATGGTATCAGTATAGCAGGAACACCTCTCGTCATGAGCAGGCAATCGGCAAAGGAGAAGAGATGTACAAATGTATTAAATCCATGTCTTGAGTGTACTTCTCTCTTTCCGTATTAAAATATTACAAGATTGAGGAGACGTGACATGTGGCACCAAGGTGCGGCAGAACTAGGGGGAAGGGGGACTTGCCCCCCCCCCCCCCCCGGCCAACAAAAGTGCCCCTCTCTGGGTCCGTAAATGTGCCCATTCGAGATGAAAACAAAACTGCCCCTACGAAGTCATGAAAGCATAATCATGATTGCGCTTAAATATTGTCTCCTCTCATGTAATGAAAAATTGCCCCTCAAAAACACAATACCCCTCGCGTGAACCTTCTCCAGATTTGTAAAACTTCTCGATATGGAAAACTACCCCTCGAAAGCACAAATACCCCTCTCGCAATACTAAAATTGTGCCCCTCTCGAGATTTGAAATTGGCTATCAAAAACAAAAGTGCCAACAACTTATCGAGATGGAATACTGCCCCGCGAAAACATGACAAGTACCCTGCTCGCAACATTATTATACTGTGCCACTCTCAAGATGGAAAACTGGCCTGTAAAAAAAACATGTAAAGTGCTCCTCACGCGATAAATAAAATGGTTACTAACCGGCCATCAAAAGCAACATTGCCCCTCTCACGATAACAAATCGGGTCCCTTTGCATAGGCTTAGCTAGTCAAATTTAAGGGCGGACCCAGAGAGGTTACTGCCAGGGTGTGCTGGAGGCCGAATGTCTCTCTCAAGTGAAAAAAAAAGTCAGGAAAAGGCTAGCATACTGTAAATTATTTGAGTTAGGAAATTAAAATGTAAAAAAAGTTTAACGCAAACATTTCAAAAAGTGTATTTCGCTGTTAGTAAATTTGTTGCTAGTAACTTTTTTTGCAATGTGAACGAAAACAGTTTCATAATTTTCTCTTCTTTCAAACTGATGGGAAGTACCTTTTTTTCTGAGGAAGTGCCGCCTTTTATTGATGCCCCCCCCCCTGTTTGAAAAGCATTCCGCAAATACAAGCTATTATTTTTAATAACAAATGATCAAAGCACTTGTGCAAGCTTCCCAAACGTCCTCCTGGCAATAGAAATCTTCACATTAGCATGCTGCTTTTTGACGAGTTTTATTTTCTGAGTATTTATCTTGATCGTTTTCTGTATACATTGTTACAAGAAGTTTAATGATGAACAGAAATACTTTGAAATAATTGACATGTTTTCATTTGGAGTGCTTATGAGACATAAAAAATGATCAAAATAGCACGTTTTAGCGGTGTAGAAGTCACCTCATTACTCAAAACATCTTCAATTAAAGCCATATTTTCCATCGTTTCACGCACGCCTCCCCCAAATAAGGTGCACTAAAACAAAGGTAAATGACAATCCAGTACTGTCCTTGTCAAAAAAACTTCCTTTTGTTCTATTTCCGTTTATGGTATCAGACAAAATGAATATTCCATCAGTAAGCTGAAGGGTTCTCTTGTAGTTACTTTGGTGGGAAAAAAAATTGAAAGAAAAACTGTACGAATGTAAACAAAAAAAGTTACTGTCAGTAACCCGAAAGCTCCCTTCAGGTCCTGCAGTAACACACAATAGATAATGCATATCATCTTGCCGACCGACCTGCATCTGTTATTTAAAAAAACACTAGGGAAAAACACTGCCCTAGATCGACTTGACCGTTTTCACGAAGAGCGAAAGTGCATTTTTCCCTAGAGCTATATGATTTTACTGCACAACGCCACTGCGCGTACTGTTTTCACGAAGAGCGAAAGTGCATTTTACCCCACTACGCCACTGCGCGTACAGCGCGTTATGTTTTCACGAAGAGAGAAAAGTGACTGCGGGGAGGGCAAAACACATTTTAGCGTTTTCACGAAGAGACAAAAGCGTGATTGTTCACTTATTCAATTAAGACCAAAAACAGAATTTCGAAAATATGAAGATTTCTCGCCACTTTTCTCTCTTCGTGAAAACGGTGACGAATTATGTATCTGATTTATAAATGCAGGACCGGCTGTCGCTTCGATGATAGTCAGTATATCGAACCCCCCCCCTAAAAAAAATCAAGATTTCACCTCAGGTTCTTCTGAAAACCAACAATGGACACAATTCAGTTAGTCTTTCCTCAACAGAGTTTCCATCTTCCGTTTCTGCTATTCTATCGTTATCATCAGGGATCAATTTCCATCTCTGTATACACTGAAATATATTACTTCGATTGCAGTTACCAGATAATGATGGACCAGGGTGGGGGGTGCCCCCCCCCCAGTTCTGTCAACAAAAAATCCACAGAAATTCATGAAAAAAGCGAACCCCCCCCTCCCGCTCTGACACCCAAAATGTGATCAATTTCCATCTCTGTATACACTGAAATATATTACTTCGATTGCAGTTACCAGATAATGATGGACTGCTGGCAGGAGAAACCTGAAGACAGGCCTGATTTCGCTGGTCTTCACACCACCATAGACGACATCCTTGCAGATGCAGCGGTGGGTATTCAGTTTCAAAACAGGTGTACTGATCACCTGTTATTTTATTTCTCATATTTTCGTTGTATACAACCCTGATCGCACTCAGGAAGGTCATTCCAGTTACGGACCTGATTCACGAGGCAGCCATTTTGGACGTGCTCCCTAAATGTATTCTATAAATTATAAACTGTTGAACGGGATGGTGCCAGACTATTTGTGCATTCTAGCCTCAATTTCATTTGGTTTTTTTTAAATGTGGCTTAAAACATGGCGGTATGTTTAATCATAATTTGTATATTATTCATCAAAGCAGGCTGGTGTTAATTTGTAATTCACTTTATGTCATTGCTTTCATTTCTCTTCACGAGTTCCAAAAATGAAAATGTTACGTCGCTTTCGATTCAATATGGCCACAACTTGTGAATAAAGTCCATTACGACCGATGTTGCCACTTTTCAACTTCACGATTGACACACTGTAGTTGGAGCTTACCTCATTGGTTATATTCAGTATTTCCGACAAACACAAATGCAATTGGAAACCTCATTTGACAACGTAAACTCGTCGTTATTCGCCCTCAAATTGGAAGGCAAATCAACTTAATTACTATTATAAAGTTACTGATTAAGTTGCACAAAGTAACATTAAAGGCAAATAGGATAATTTGCGTAATACCAAAAGTAACCTACCGAATTATCATCAAAAAGCTTACTAGGATTGAAGATCTTTCTGGTACTAAACACCCGTGAATTATCCGTCTGGCTTGTCGCAATTTAGAAGAATTAATAAAATGCAGGCGATATAATACCAACGATTACTTATTATTACGAAATCGTATTTCGTTATCAAAAAATAATTGCACTGTTTTTTCGTACTTTCGAAAAGTACAATATCCTGTGAGTCGAAACTGCTTTTAATTATGGTTTGTATTTCTATGGTTTACTACTTATTTTTCCTTTATTTACAGGGTTATCTCGAGATGGGAAATCTTAACCCAGACGATTACGTGTACCTGAAACCTGGCCAAGGTTCGAGAAGCACCACTCACTCACCCACTCGTTCGCCCACAGGCAGCATCGAGTCGGGCTGAGTGGTTGCGTGCATTCACTACAAGCGTCACAGCGGTGTAAAACTTTGAAAGGATCGCTTGTTCAGTGTAAATTGCCCTAGGGCAAGTTAGAGCGAGCATTTTCGTTTACCATAGTTCAACTCTCTTTATCCGATATAGCCCAGGCATGAAGTAGTTGAACTACTAGAGCTATTGACAATCCGACCCCGGAGCTTGTTCTCGCGCTAGTTCTGATCTCTACGCTATATGTACATAGCAGCCGACATCTGTCAAGTTGCAGGACCAATTAAATTGCAGAGTGTATCAAGTGATTATTAAGCTTTAGACAACAATTTATAGGAAGGGAGAAGCTCATAAAGTGTATTGTCTTAGCAGAGCACGATTAATTTACATTAACTTCGAGGTGCTTACTTTCCTTGGTGGTTGTGTTTTATTAAGTGAATAAATGTGTGCTTGGCCAGTTTTAAACACTATGTTTAAAACGGGTGATCACATATTAGGTGAAAAAATTTTCCCCGTATAGTTTATTTGTGGGTGATCGTTCACCACCCGTCCACTGTTTAAGAATCGTTCGAGTTTTCTGTCTATCTTTTGTTTATTTTTCCGAAAATAAATTCACGGCGACTTTGTTCAAAACTGTTCACAGCAGAAAATCGAACCCGATACAGAGGTGACGTCATGATGACGTCCGATGCATCAAATTACAAGCGAGTTAGTTTTAAAATGACTATTTTTATTCACTGATAACTTATGTACACAATTTACAATCATGTTTGTACTCTTTAATCTTTGAAGATGAAAAATACATTTGAAGATGAAAATTTGTGAGCAGATTTCAGAAAGTAAAATCGCTTGACCTTTCCTTTTGGAGGCACCGAAAGGTCAAAGCTAGGTGAATCCAAATACAAACATATTCCTCACATAAAACATACATAGTTCTTCGACACAGGACAAGAGATAAGGATGAAATGTGGTATGAACAGGAACCCTTGTCCGAAGGTGTTACATTTTTATGTCATCTTTGTGATGTAATCAGTTATCGAACTTCAAGCAATTTAACCCTAAAGGGGCCGGGTTATTTTGACCATCTCTCAGCCGGGGGGGGGCGGATTCCGCCCCCCCCCCTAAGATCTCGGCCATCGAGTGACGAAAAATTTTGAAACTCGGCACATGCATAGAGCAACTGTTCCTTAACATACCCAAGAAATTTCATGACTATAGGTCAAAGGGTTTTGGAATTATGGCTAATTAATTATTCATATGTATGAATGTCAATTTTGCTCTGTGTACACGACGTATATGCGAAAATTCAGTTTTCACGGCGCGTAGCGCCGGAAAAATTTTCGCTACGCGGCAACCCGTGGTCCGATTTTTATGTTTTTGGTATCAAAAGATGCGCAAAGCTCGAGGCTAAACAGTCATAACAGCTCGGGTCGCGAAAAAAATGTGTTTAGAGGCTATCACGGAAAATGTTGAGGGGGGGGCGGATTCCGCCCCCGGCCCCTTTAGGGTTAAAGAGGTTGTGGAATGCTCGAAGACATTTCCGTCATTTTTCGGGTATATGTAGCCTAAGGTGTGATGAAATAAAAACGACTATTGTTTCTGTCATAAAATGAGTACAAAGATACTTTTGAGAGCTGTTTTTCAAGTCCTGTCATGCCTGTTTCGACCCGAACGTGCAATTTGTGTAAAAGTCGTCGTTGCGGGCAGCAAACAAAACACATTAAATCGTGACGTAATAAACAGGACTCCCGATGCAGAGTAGCATAAACAAGTCCTATTTATTACGTAAAGATTTTTAGAACAACCATCCTTACTTTAGAACAGGAGTCAAATTGAGGACGATCTCAATTAGAAAACGTGTACAGCCAAGTTGATCTGTTGCAAAAAGAGTTACGGTATGAACCAAAGATCGATGATGATGAACAGTAGAAAATCCTTGATAAACACCATAAACAAACCTACTTGTTTGCGTACGCGTACTGTACAGTATTTCCGTGCATTTCCATACGGCACAGAAATGGCACGTGAAATCTGGACAAACAACGTTGTTATGATATTAAGAGGGCTGCTTGTGGTGGCAGCGGTTGTTGTAATATCGACTTACGAAAAGTCCGAATTGAGTGGTCTACATCAGGCATGTAGTTTGTCCCAGGAGAAGGAACTGAGAAGAAACAGTAAGGGCGCCCTTTATAATCATAAGGTCAAAACAATTTGGGAGGGCGACAGTCATGCCACCAAACGACCTAGACGTAAAGCACGACTCGACAAACGTTGCTGAAAACCCGACGCAAGATGGTGCGACGCGATGAGCGACGAACATTGCGTCATTATGACGCTATCACGCGTAACGTGACGTCACATTAAAGGTGCATATTAAAATACCTCTCTCTATATTTATAGGCCTACAGAACTACATGCAGGACGTATGCAGGACGTGTTTTAGATACAAATTGAAATGATGTCATGATGACGTCATCGCCTGATGTGTGACGTCAAATTAAAAACACATTTTGCTAAGGCCTATATCTATATAAATATTGGTCCGATTCGGCTGTAACTTGGTATGTTCCTAGACCAGGATGTGTTATAGATGACGAAAGTGTGGCTGTGTCATCATGCGTCATGTGAAGTCACCTAAAATTGGCATTTAACCAAGCCCTTATATACAGAATTGTTGCAACACTATTTTCTTTACTGCAATATGTATGGAAGTTAAACATTGAAATGACGTCACATTGCCATTTCGTCACCGTTTTCACGAAGAGCCACATATGTCAAAAATTACGGTTTTTTCGATTTTGATTTTTTTTAATATTTTGCTTTAAAACAATGTACTTAACCATTTTGACATGTTTTTGTAAGCAAAACATCATTAATTTCAAAGTTTCATTAATGTTGCAAGGGGCCAAAATCTCGATAAATGAATTTTGCGTTTTCACGAAGAGCCACATACATTTTGGCCCTTTGAACGCGTACAAAACCCATTGCACGGAAATACGTAAAAGTAGGTCAAATGAGATTTTCGTTTTCGCGAAGAGCCACATATCTTTGTTACATTTTCAGCTGCGCGCGCGTACTCACGCGCGCCTATGGAAATACACATTGAACAGAAAGGGCCAATATGTCGGAAACCTGAATTTGCGTTTTCACAAAGAGCCACATATCTTTACTAATTAATTTTCACTAATTAACTGCTGAATTAAGTCTTATTACTGGGTTCATGTAAAAATTCAGCTCACACTGAATAGTGTGATGGTTTCCTTGCTTCACAAAGTTAGGCAAAGTGGTATTTTTTGCAGTTTTAAAATATGAGAAACTTCTTTTGCGATTATCTCGAAAACACTTTTTCTTCAAAATCGACATATGTGGCTCTTCGTGAAAACGGTGACGATTTGACATCTTGATGTTGCATTTTCAAATATACACATCTATCAGTCTATAACATGACATAAACATCGATACAAATACCGAAATAACCCTGTGTTTATCCACAAACATAACGTCAGTCTACTCTCTTTTTTTTTGTTTTTTTTTACTCTTTCCGCCTGCACTGCGACATTTCCTTCCTCTCATTAAAGTTGCAGTACATCGCAATGATTGCAATATATCTATATATATATATATAAGAGAGAGTTTAACTCGGCCTAAGAGACGATGTTTGCTCATGAAAGGATCCGAGACCGCAGGCTCCCGCGGCGCCAAAATCGCTCAACGTCCGTGGAAAAATGCGGAGGGTGTCTTCCGCCGGGTCGGACACTTCGGGTCGTCCTGATTTTCCCGTACGGACCGGCGATCCGTTTCGTCGATTTTTCGTGACTGCGTTTTGCGCAGGAATTTGCCGTCGTGTGCGCTTTCACGTTGACTGCCTGGCCGCCCCCTGTGCTGGCTTTTCTGCGTGTCTAGACTGTGCGAGGTCAGCGGCTTCGAATTAGGGATTGCGTTTACGTGTTCTACTCGGCTGTTCTGCAAAAGTGTTCACCAAACGGTAGCGTGGAGTGACCTTGGCAAAATATTTTTTTCTCCATGGTGCGTGGCCACCAAGTGTCTCTATTCTTTCATGTGCTTTGCTTGCCGCCCGTGCGCCGAGTGCAACGAATACTCAGAAGGACTACACATTAGTATGCCTTGCGCGGTCTGACCAATCGAAAGTCTACACTGCGTAGTATTTCCGGGCTATGCAAAATTGTCGATGGCAACGCGTACTGCAGCCTGCTCCACACCCTGGAAACGAGGTTGGGTCTACGGTGCTCGCTATTTGAAGTGCAAGCATGTGACGTCGCGTGATAGAGTGTTGTTGCTTCCATAATGTGTTTACAGCTCCATGCTTCCACCACCAAGGCTGAGCGTTGTTAGTTCGCTGCCCGCCACGTATAATTCAGTGTCGTGTTATAATTTCGGGGGCCTGTTTGGGGTCAACGAAGGATCGATGCATTCACAAAAAAATCGACGAAAAGTGTCCGACCCAGCGGAAGACACCCACATTTTTCCACGGACGTGGAGCCATTTTGGTGTCGCGGGAGACCGCGGTCTCGGATCCTTTCAGGAGCAAACATTTCTCGGAGGCCGGGTAAAACTTGCTCTTATATAGATGGTTGAACCAACTTCAATAAAAGTTAAATCGACTTTTTCCTCGCAGACGGTCTCGCAAATTGTAAGAAGTTCAAGTTTACGTTTGTTGAAGAGTCCAATACTGAAACTTAATTATGACCTTCCTCCATGATTCAGACCGTTTGTAATTTTATGGTAACACTCAACATTTTCATTTCAAATGACACCTTTACGTTTTATTGCATTATGATTTATTGTCAAAACTGTACAATCAGCCTTCGCCTGTGTACTACGGTAACCTTTTCACTGCGTTTTCCAAATGCGACTGCCTCACAAAATGCCAATTTAACAGACCAACGGGAACATTTACAGACAGTTGCCATGGTACATAATTATCATGTGTGTAAATCGACGGGGGACAGGGGGAACCCCCCCCCCCTCCATTTTAAAGCGGGGGACATTGTTTGGTTCCCCCCCCCCTTTTTTTCCCCGAATAAAAACTGTAGCCTACAACAATGATTCTATTGCTCAGAATACATGTAGCTGATTCAATTACTCCAAACTCAAAACTTTAACAGATGATCTTTTGCTGAAATTGGTTTTAGTGGTCAGAAATCGCCTCAAATCACACCACAGAAATTGCTTTTCTATAACTGCATGTCTCCTTAACTATATCCCCATTTACATTTCACTCCCCAAATTTTCATCCCCAACACTACGCCCTACCCGATCTATGATCGGGTAAATCAGCTTGTTATTAATATATGTATTACTTCCGTCATGATGGCTTTGATTGGTTTGCACAGTTTCGCCCAGGCGGCGGAAGTCA